TGTGTTTTCAATAATCTCCTCCTCCTCTTGTTGTCACTGTTTCCCTCAGATGATTCTGTCTTTGTGGAAATTTGGACTTCTGCTCATTAGCTTCATAGGAGCAAATGGACTTGACCGCTTTCCAGAAAATTGTACGTCTTATTTATGGATCCATATATTTTCACACATAATATTTTCTACATCTTCAAAGGTTTTACATCTATTGATCTTGATCTATGTGCCTGTGTGTCTGCATGCTTGTGTAGTTGTTGTGGCAAAAAGGAATGACGCAGTCACACTGACCTGCAACACAAACACTGACGGAGCAGTCACGTGGAGGTTTGACGGTGAAGTGATGGAGGATTTGGAGGATAATATCAAGCAGGACGGTCAAAATCTGAGCTTGACAGAAGTGGATACCCCCATACTGGGAGAATACAGCTGCTGGAGAGGAAGAGAGATGTTGTCATCGACCTACCTGCTGCTGGAGGCTGAGGAGGAAGAGGAATTAGGTGAAATGCTCGTATTATTCTTATCTGTTCTAATATTAGGTCACAGTTTAGGCCAGTTTAAACTCTGTGCAGACAGTCTGGGTGGAATATTTCTATGTTTTGAGGAGGGAACTTAACTCAAATTGTGTCTTTATAGATACCAGCATCAATTGTTGGGCAAAGTCGTATCACTGTAACTTCAGCTGCATCTGGAAAGACAGCAGAATCAAAGCAGGTCGCCTTGGACTGGGCCATGGCTGGTAAATACCACAAAACACAATTTACACTAGAAAGACCACACTACTGCATGTATAGTGTATAAAGATTGACCATGATGCAGCTAGAATCATATCCTTCTCAGTGACGTATTTCACCCAGTGTCTCATATACTCCTTCCATTATTCAAGCACTGAAGGTGGGAAGTTGTGTCACTGGGTCAGCAGCAGTGATCAGATCCCGGGTGGGGGATTTCAGTTTGAGCTGTCGCACTCCCTCTCTCCCTACGCCGAGGAAAGCACCATGCTCAAACTCACCGCTGAGGCCATTATTAACTTCTCCATCTTCAGGATGACCAAGACATTTTATCTTCGAGACATTGGTGAGCTGAAAGAAACTGAGCCACACTAAAGGCATCCAATAGAAGGTTTGAAATAAACAGAGCAAAGGTGTTCACAAAGGACAAAAGTAAAGTAACTTTGTGATGAAGTAAAATGCATATTCAAATGAAATGTAGTATAACATATAATATGCAATTATTTTCAAAAACATTTATGACAGTTTTAAACATTGAGTTTCAGGCACAATACATAAATATTTGTAATGTTCTTTCACAGTATTTTCTTTCATGGTTATTTCCAGACAGACTTTAATGTTTCATACATTTTTTAAACTCTGTTTTATCTTCTATCAAGTTCAACCCGACAGTCCCCAGATTAGCACGTGTCAGGAGATGGAGCAGAACCTGAAAGTGACCATCGATCCTCCATCCAGCTGGTCCACCCCTGAGAGTTTCTTCTGTCTGGAGCACGAGATTGAATACGTGTTCAAAGATGATGGGAAGGTAAACACAAGCCTGCGTTGGTACAAAGTCGAGAGATCTCTTAACGCCTGTCCTTTGGTTGGTTTTCTCATCGTGTTTCCTGTTGTACTTTAGACTGGACGCTCTTTCTCTTCCCTGATACCGAAGAGCATCAGTAAGCTGAGGGTCCGCTCCAGAGACTCGCTGGTGCTCTCAACCTGGAGCAATTGGACTCCTTGGAAAAATGTAACCAACTGATATTATTTGAAGCTGCTACACTCTGCTGCTGCTGCTCCCTCTTTGTTCGCACATATCCACATTTTCCTATCGAGTCCACTCCAATGAGTTTATGGATGTCATCCCTCACCAGAAGATCAGTGATAGAGTTTTGATTTATATTAGATGATAAGACCATACATATATTATTTATCTTTTATTTATGACTGTATTCAAACTATTTATTATGAATATATTTATTATTTATTGTAAAACATCATACAAAACACTGCTGTTCCCCAAAGTTGGTTTTGGCAACCAGCATCACACATACAGGAAATGACACAGACAGTGCACCACAAATACATCAGAAGTTTCCATTTCCATTTCAACAGAAGAGTCCAGTTCAGTGGGCCCTGCTGACAGAATGTAACACTTGTCCCTGTTATTTCTGTGTAAGTCACTTGGTGTTTTCTGTGCTGCAAGATGAATGTCTATTAAAAGCATGTACTTCCTTCCTATTTTATGTTCCTTCTTCTTTCGGATGATTCTCACGACATTTGTACACTTCCTGAACAGAAAAATATACATTCCTCTGTGATGTAATCTAGAGTCAATTCATTTTATTTAGTTAATGTTCAAAAATATCTGTATTTTTAAATGAAAGGTCAAATGAGCAGATTTTACTTCTGATATCTGGAGCTTAAAGAGGTATTTTTTTAGTAAAGTTTCTCTAAGTAGTATATACAACTTAAACTACTTAGCTGGTTTTAGTTTTTGTAATGATTGAGCGATATCACATGTTATGCTAAAGTATATCACCTAATTTACATAATAAAACTTGTAAGTTTGCTTTACATTTATTCTATCATCAGTTTAGATCCTCTTAAAGTTTAAAATGTAAAATATTTGTTGAGAGCTCATCAATAAAAATCTTTCACTTCACTCAGACATCTGTAGCAACTATTTTTAAAAGTTTGTAAGATAGGATATGCATAACTTAATGTGTTTACTTGTCCCTTTGAAATCTGTCATTACCTTGTTCCAGGTGAGGTCGCGGGAAGAGAACTTGTGCAAATGCAGAAACACAGTAAAATATTGCTGTCCAGAGTTGCCACCTGCATTGTTGGAACGCTGCAAGAAGAAGAAGAAGAAGAAGATGAAGAAGAAGAAGAAGAAAAAGAACAAGACATCTTAAAAACATGTTGAATAAAAAGGTACATTGCTGCTGGGATCATTCTGTCGCACAAACACACCACAGTTAGTGGAGAATAATGAACAAATAATTGCTTACATGTGTGTGAGTATGAAGCAAATAAAGTGTTGTATGTTATTGCATTAATTGAGTGCTTGGGTAAGGTAAAGATTTTGAACTTCAAAAAGCTCTGACCTGAAGAAGTTATCAACTTTTGTTCTTCACTCAGTTGCCTGTTTATCATTAACGACTTAAATATCTTGTTAATTCAGAAAAATTGTCCAAAAAACAAATCTGCCCAGTCTGTTTTAACAAGATAATTTTCCTTAAAAAATTCTGCTGTTTTTCTGAATTAACGACTTAAAGGTCCAGTGTGTAAGATTTAGGTGAAAGGGAACTATTGGCAGAAATTTAATGTAGAATTTCATCTAAATTGTTTGAATTGTAGTGTTCTTTTCCCTAGAAAAGGCCCTTTATATTGAAATACATTATATTTACATCGAGGGGACCCTCTCTGCGGAGGCTGCCATGTTTTTTACAGTAGTTCAGACTGGACAAACTAAACACCTTTTGAGTTTTTATTCAGCTGCAACATGAAACTTCACCACTCGATATCACTAAATTCTACACACTGTACGTTTAATTACCTCGTCAATTCAGAAAAACAGAGCAGATATTTTTCTCAATTGAATAAAATACACTTCCGTACTAAAACAAAGGAAATGCACGGTACATGTATTCATGTTGTAGTTCATTTGAATAAAACATCTATGAGATTCAAACACATGTGATGGGGCCCAGCAGCTCATTCGTGCCCGGCGGCTCCGGAGCGTATTGATCCGGCTCTGCAGAACGCGCATGCGCACAGCACATTGACCGGATATGGCCGCTCACCTGCCGCTGTGTTGTTCTCCGGTGCAGCCTCAGACATGGAGGAGACTCCGCCGGCACATGTGAGGTACGAGGACGTGTCGGGACTCTAACGTTGCACATGTCCTGAACATGGCAGCGGCTCTCCGGACAGCGGCTCTTTTTGTTTTGTACCTGTGGAGCGTCTTCAGCCGCACCGCAGGTGAGAGGAAGAGTCATGGCAACCAGCTAGTTCAGCTAGCAGCGGTGTTAGCTTTAGCTTTGGATAACCTTTGTTTACACGCGCATGGGTTGACTGAGCACATGTGCACATGTTTTACAGGTGCAGAGACAATACTGTCATACTCTGAACATCCATGACCAACTCTGCCTTCATGTGCATGATACAGTCACATGTAATTACAATGTTTGTGTTTTTTGGGGGGGGGGGGGCTGCTGCAGGTCTCGGGGTCAATGAGCTCTTGTACTTCCGGGTCATCAGCCCAGAGGAGATCGGCTACATCTTCAGTGCTGCACCCGCTAAAGACTTTGGAGGAGATTTTGTAAGCACTCTTTTCTCTTTTCTCTTTCATTTCAAATCAAACTTCCTGTCTTCAACTTGTCTGCATTTATATTTGGCTTCAATACCCAGCTTCGGTTACTTGTCTTTCCATCACCTTGTACTCTGCATTGACAATGTCTCCACCAGCACATACTTCTTCACAGTGACAGCTTTGAAGTAGTTCTGGTCGTTAGACTTTCATCTCACTGCATTGAACTTATTCTTGACTCATTTGGACCTTTTTATTATTCTTATGCTCTTGTGTTTGACTGTTTTGTGTGATATTGGATGCCTAGATTTCCCTCGGGATCAATAAAGTATTCATCCATCCATCCATCTATCTATCTATCTATCAATGTCCACTCGACTTTAAAATCACATTCAGAGTCAAGAGACGTGTGTACTGTAAAACATGTGTTGCACCATGCAATGAAATATTTACTTTGCCTGTCCTCGGTCTCACAAGATTAAACCGTCACAGTAAAGTCAAGCTTAAAAATGTAATTCAAGTAAAGATTAACTTAATAATAGAAAACTACATTAATACTCAAATCTAACTGTAGACACATGTTATGTGTTAACATATATCTGAAAACTTTGGCATTGCAGAGCAGCAGTCATAAATGGACACAAATGCAAGAGGCTATGAGTTCAGTCAGACTTGTGGGAAATTTTGTTCTTACAAGCTCGTTGTCGTATGCTTCCTCTGGATTTCACACTCTTGCAACATCTGCCTGATGTCAGGAGTGTAAAAGGCTGTGGCTGTGTACTGTCCCTGATGATGATGATGTGTTCCCTTCTTATGACCTTATTCTAATAAAAGTCCTGTAGTGATGGAAAGGCTGTTCTTGAGATAAATAGTGCACTTCTAATGGAGCTGATTCGGCATTTTCCACTGCACCTAAAGAAGTTACTGAGTTACTGATATCTGGTTGCTTCATTTGCCCTCTCAAAGTTCAGTCACTGTAGGGATTTCTCGATGATGTTATCGTAAGGCCAAATTAATGTTTTCACCCTTTCTACCTCTTTGTCTCCAGACATCTTCCTATGATGAGATTTTCCTGGTGCCTGCAGACCCGGCGGACGGCTGCTCCGACCTAAAGGACAGAGACATCATTTGGGGACAAGTGATCCTGGTTGAAAGAGGGTGAATACTAACTTATAGCTGCCCCTGTAGAAGCCATAAACAGACCAGTGATAGGAAAGTGTAAGCTGGGGTGGATCCATGTAGTGGTTGAGGGGTGGGGAAGGCCTGAGACTAAGATAAGCAGGGTGTGGCTGTAAGAAATGATGATGATTCAGTTAACTTATAGTAAGATAACTTGCTTACTAACATGCTTAGGCATGTGACAGCCTAAAATGGACAAATTGTATTTAGTAGTCAAATTGTCCCGACTGGAATATGATGATAATTAATTATTTTCTTCATTCATGTAAATTCATGTTTCTTAATTGTTTTTACAGTTTTTTTTGCAGCGGTTGTAGGAAATACAGAGACGCTTGAGTGTCATGTAGAATATTTAATGTAATTTGTTTAGTTAAAGTAACTGGCTGATAAACAGTGGCATTTTTAGTTGTATGCAATGCTAACATGATGTAATTAGATATTTTATCTTTTGGAATGTTTAATGTGCAAAGTCTGTCCATATGGGACAGTAGAGTTTGAGTAACTATGTCACAGCACATCGTTGGCAGTAGTATTACAACTTATTTATTTCTGGCTCATTTTAAAATAATTTCTTCCATTTCTTTATCTGTTTTTCTTCAGTGGTTGCTCCTTTGTACAAAAGGCCCGTTATGTGGAGGAAGCAGGAGGTAAAGCTGTTCTAATAGCTGATAATGCAGTGGACAACGATAGTCAGTACCTTGATATGATCACTGATGGGACCACGGCCAAACCCAACATACCTGCTCTGTTTCTACTGGGACGTGATGGGTACGACGCGTCATTCAGAGCTGTTAAGGATTAATGCAATGAATTTATTGGGCATTAACAGTTTATTCCTTTTATTCTAGAATGATGATCAGACGAACTCTTGAGAGACAAGAGCTGCCGTGGGCTGTCATTTCCATCCCTGTCAACGTTTCGTCTTTGGCCTCATTCCCTCTGAAGCAGCCACCATGGACACTGTGGTAGAAGTGACACACATCTACAACTTCATTGTCTTCCTCACTCTGTTTGCTCTCTTTCATCGGTGCATTTCCTCTCAGCAGTGAATAAACTCACAGCTTCACAGGGACGTCTTGGTGATAACCTGGTGGTGGTGGGTAACCTAGCACATGTAGTAGTGGTGAACCAATAAAACTGATGTACACATAAGTTCACACTCACAGCCTTTATACCAGGTAAAGACAAACAAATGAGAAACATTCTTGCTTATGCTCAGTGCTTAGCTAAAGTTTTAATAATTATTTGCCCATTCAAAATGTGCCTGTCTGTAGGGGCTGGTTGCCTAGTGTCACAGTGTATGTGACACAATCAGTCACAAGTATAATTTTGTCGAACCTTGTCTCAGTTGGATGGTTGAAGAGGGTTTGATTAATTCATGTCTGTATTTTTATTTTCTTGACAACTATTCATCCAAAAGCACTGTACAGTCAACTGTGCACTTCCTTAGATCCTCAGCAATACACCTGACTACACCGAAGGTTGATCGGATGAGAAACAGTGATGCCTTGATTTGTAGTTTTATTAGTCGGTGATCATGATTATGAGGTCTTCCAGTAGGTCAGTCTCCAGAAACTGCTTAATACAACACTTACAGAGCACACGTCGCCTCTGCCTTGTCTAATAGTGTTAGTGGTTGGATATCCCTCTGAGGGAAAGACACAAAAAAACTATTCATGAAAGCATCTGCTATAATCACAATACAATATACAGGGAATGTTGCCTCACTGTAAAAATGTAAATAATTTCTGTTCATCTGCATGAACTTTAACAGGATAAAACTGATAATAACTGTACATTCCTTTTCTTATGGTAAATAAATCTAAAATGAAACTTTTTGCAGAACAGACCATCATTCGTTTGCTTTCTTGCGGTTCACATTTGTAAAACTTCAAACTCAGTCTTCCACGGGGAAAGGATTGGGTGTTGCCTTGAATTTTTCCACACTGAGGCTTCTGAATAGAATTTGCTCTTTGTCTTTGCTTGGTTAGGAACAGATTGCTAATATTAGTAGGTCTGTAAACTTTATTGATCCGTTTATCCAGAATATAAATGGGTGAGGGTTTCAGATTGCAGAATTGAAAAGTCTGAAGTTATAGCTGACAGGCCTCAACACAAAAATGTAACTGCAGTTCTTTCACATTGCCTGTTAACTATTCACTCTCAATTCATATCTGAATATATAAGTTATCAATGCCTTCATTTAAGCTCTTTTCGCTGTGAGAAAGAAATCCTGTATTGATTTATTGTTTATTATTATAGCTGCCCTCTTGTGACAGGAGTCAACCCCAAAGAAATTAGTTAGTTTATAGAAATGGCCATAATTATATTGAACATGGTAGTGAATTTCTCTCTTTGCATCTTGGACCCACACTGTCCACATCGTGGCCTCCCTCTGTTTGGTGGTCTCCCTCATAAACATCAGCACTCATCCTAACACAAATCTGATGGTACTAGTTTTCACCATGAAAACAAACCTGTTTTGAATGTGGAGGGCAACAGTTGTAGGGAATCAAATCTGGAATATAAAGATTAAATAGTCCTCAGTATCTCCTCCTGCCACAGAGTGTTGTTTAGTCTTAAGTGGTTAAGTGCAATGATTGTTTTATACGTAGGATCAACTGTGGAGTCACCAGCCTTTCTTGTCCGAACATACAGTACATCACCAGCCTCGTGCAGATGTCCAGTGTTCAGTCACAGGTAAACTTCCAAGATGTTACTACTTAGTTCACATAGTACATTCTTTCCTCTAACATGCTTTAGGCTTTTATTGTGCTGTCATGTAAAAAATCATCATCCTGATGCAGCAGGAATGTAAAAATAATATTAATAATAATACTATAATGAACAAAGCATAACATTCTTCCTTCACTAAAACACATGCAATGTTGTTGGAAAGCATGAACTTGATAACTTGGAAGACAACTTGAAAGATATAGATAGAATACCACATATCACATATTAATAGTATTTTATTTACAAGAGCATTTATTCCTCTTTTGAGCTGTAATTGATACAAAATGCCACCTGAAGGCGCTGTGGTGTCTTTAATCCAGAGGAGCCATCTACTGAAGTTCTTCCTCCGCGAACTTAAAAAAAGCAGCAACTTTTTTTTTAATCAAATATCAAACCAAATCAAGGACATTCAATTAATATGTAGACAAATGGACAACAAGTCAGACCATTGATCATTAAGCTGGTTTGAAGCTTCATTGTTGAAATAGTGATTTGGACCCAAAACTCATTTCAAACAAGAGACACTTGATTTTAACTTCCCTTCAGCACCAGGATCTGCAGTCACATCAGTAGGCTTATGTTATTATATGAGGTCAGGTTCATCTGAGATTCACACTATTGAACATCATCAGCTCAGTATCCAGATCATATTAATGCTTAAACGTTTTATTAAGGAAACTTTCTGTACTCAAGGAAATGAATAAATACTAATAATAATAATGTAAATTGGAGATGAATAATATTGTCGATTTAGTGACTAATAAACATAATATTAAAATAAACATTTACATATATTGCTACCAAGTATATAACAAATATAAATGTGAGGCAACAAACTGTTGGACTTTTTAAAAAAACAACATAAATCACACAACCTTTTCTCTTGAATGAGGGTTTGGCCTTATTAATATATATATATTTCGTATTGGTAGATAAAAAATATTAGGAATTCCAAGTGCTTCTGTAACAATTGACTTTAACAAGGCCAGAAAAGGGGGGGGGGGCGCTGGAACCTGTCAGAGCCAACATACTGAGATAAAGAGGTCAATAGTGATCAAATAATACACATTTATTCTTTTGTAATTTCATTGACAAGTTGAGCATTTTCCTTATGTCACTTGTATTTTAGCTGAATCGGTCCTCGCTTATCTCACCTCTCACAGTCAGTGAATCTTGGTCGGCCTTTCTTTACGGTTTCCCTTCACAGGAGAGGAGGCAATCCTGAGAAAAAAAAAGAAATATCAACATCTGCTTTACTGCGCGTTCCGAACGAATTTCACCTTTTTCAGAGACACGTGTCACCCTCTTACCTCCTCCGGCATCGTGGACACACTCTGCCCCACACCGTCTGCACCGTGGCCCCCCTCAGAGCCGGGCTCCCCCACAGGTACACGGCCGGTGTGCACACGGCGTTCAGACGGGCCATGATGGCGAACAGATTGGTGGCCTCGTTCCTAAACACGAGCCCTCGGCCCATCACCAGCCTGAGCACGATGTTAACAAAGGAGGGGCACCACAACACCAAGAAGCTCATGACAACAAAGATGATGATTCTCAGCGACTCCTTGTTGGTTTCTCTCTCTGCGCTGGGGGGGTCTCTCGCCAGCTGGTACCTGGCTATAATGTACAGTTTGATGGTCATGACCACTTTGGTGAACACGATGATCTGCAAGCTGATCACGCTGAAGACGTACAGCTGCACAGATTTGGAGAGAGGCAGGGCATTTTGAGCGATCAGCTGCAGGCACACGTGGAACCAGCAGTACACGTTTACGCAGATGATAACATTCCGGGTGACGAAGCGCGTGTAAATGAAGGGGTGGCACACGGCAAAATATCTATCGAACTGCGCGAATAAAAAAGTCATGATGTTCACCCCGAGCAGAGAAGGTAGAACATGATAAGTCCCGTTTCTGGACGGGTACCCCTCCTGCACATCGAACAGACCCAGATAGTACACTGACAGCCCCAGCAGCGTGTCACAGATGCTGGTGTTCAGCATGAAGATGAACCTGTTCTGCAGCCGCAGCGCTCTGGTGCATAAAATGGTGATGACCACCGGCCCCGCTAAAAGAACCGCGGCCGTGGCGAATAAGATCTGAAAGATGAAGATGAGATAATCCACTGGACTGTCGAAGTCCACCGAGAGACGAAGCACCGCTCCTGTCACCGGGGGTGTGAGGTTGGAGAGGAGCATGGTTTCTGGAATGCATGCTTGGATTATTCTCTCTTTATATTGTACATGCGATACAATGTGTCCCCATGAGGAATGACCTAATGTCACTCGTCATATCAAACTTCAAACTTTTATTCTCCCAAACATTTAATATTTTAAAGACATAATCATTTAATTAAGTCTGCATTTTGCATTTCAGTTTGATTTCACTTCAGTTTTCACATGAATTTAAAGATTAAAAACCACTCTTTGTTATATTGAAAGTAAAAACTAATCACACAATATTTCCCCAGAAACATACAATTAGACGTACATTAATTTCTATGCGTCAGGTTAGTTGTTCATAAAAAAACTTTCCACAAGCCAACATACATTTACTTTTCCTCTCATCGCCACAATTACATACATTGACAGTGAAAAGCTTTTGATTCATTATTCATTTGTTATCTTATCATTTGGATAGAAATCATCATCAGGCACTAACAATTGTTTTCTGGTGATTCACCTGAATCCAACTTATTTTACTTATTATATTTATAGTTTAACTGCGCTTAATCTAAATGAAGAAGCCTCTTAGTTTACCGTCATAATAACTTTACCAGGTTGAGATAATGTCAACAAGTCAAACATTAGAGAATAGAGGCATCATGACTTTAATTCCAAGAAGAAAAATGCTGATAAGTGAGACAAGAAATCCACTTGCACAGCAAATAAAAATTGATGGGAAATACTAAAATAACATCGCTGGCCCTAAGTGTTTTCAACATGACCGATTTTATCTTTAAAGTGCAATGGAATGATTTTAGATATCACAATATCACGCGAGCACGGTGCTATAACATTGGCCAAGATGTGATTAGTATGAATAAGGCAGTGTGTAGACTGTAGAAGTTAGGACGAACGAGTGTTATGTTGACTGGCGGGGTCATGATGGGAGTAAATGGAAGCTCACACAGAGATGCACTCAATGTTTTAAAGTCAGTGTTTTCTTCGTGCAGACCTCAGACTCTCCCTGATGACGGTGATTGATTGACAGATGGTCATAGACGTCCC